GTACTTCTTTGTTGGTCACCCTCTCAGTCCCAGAAATTCTTAGCATCATTAGATAAATCCACATTTCAAAAGCTTTTGCATCCTCTTCCCCCCCACCCAGCAAGTAGCTATTTAAAAGTCCACAGATCCATGCTGCACGGCAGAACAAAGAATACATCTCTGTTCTGACTTTTTTTTTGCACGGCTGTGCTTCTTGCTATTCCTTCAACCTGTAGAGTTCAGTGGTTTAGGTGTCGGCTTGGGAGTTCGATTCCCCGCTGGGCCTCCCTGGAAGGGGTCTGGACGCAATCATCCGGCGAATGCCATTTTTTAATAAACAGAGATTAAAAACACCAGTAGCCTTCCGGCTGTGCCTTCCAGTGCATCAGCTATTGCACGGGTTATTCCAATTTGCCCAGGGAAAAACATGTCAGGGAAGGGTTAATGGAACTGGCTTTTCTTGGCAGCCAAGCACTTCCTGGTATCCGCCAATCCGAGGGAACAAAGGTTCAGCTTTTTTTCCTTTCCACTCCAGCCACAGGTGAGGGAAATGCTCCATCCAGGTATTCAGTTCTTGTTTTTTTCCCCTCAAGGGATCCCTACAGGTGGGGTAGCCACAAAAGCCCCAAAAAGATCAAGATCTGGTGGAAAGATGAGAACAAGATCCGCTGGAACATGGAGGTAAATGGCCCAAGGAAATGCTGATTGTACGTCAGAAACCACTTCTTTTTCGCCTTTTTTAATTTTATTATTTTTAGGGCTGGGTAACGTGAAACTTTGCTCCTCTTGAAAAAGGAGGTTCTTTCCCAGCCTGGTTTCAAGCCAGCCTGGAGGTGGACAGCCAGACACAGGTTGGAAAAGGGGAAGTCCTTCCTCGCCGAAAGGACGGCTCTGGACAGGTGGAGGGCTGGCGTCTTGGTCACCTGGCCATCAGGCTTGGGAAAAGTGACTTTTTTGGGGAGGGCTGCCCCTCCCAGAATCCGTAGGCAGCCTGGCCAAGCTGGTTTGAAAAGGATTTTTGAAAGCTGACAAATTCAAAAAAAAAAAGTAACTTTTCCAAGCACTGCCTGCCATTGCATTGGAAAAGTGGCTAGAAAGCACCCACCCTTCCCGACAGATCTGTCTGCTGTCTTGGTTTCTCCTGCTGGTGTTGCAATACCTGGCTATAATATGTTTTATTTTTGTCTATCAATTTAGAACCCCCTGGAGCTGTACTTTCGGCTATACCGAGGTACAAAAGGTTCAACCACAGAATTTTAGAGCTGGAAGTAAACTCATCCCGCTTTCTGCTTCTGAGGCAGGACTTTTTGCGGCGAATGCAAAAAAAAGTGAAAGGACGGAATTTTAGAACCAAAGCGACAGGTTGCATTTAAAATAATCTAAAATTACCATTCTCAGAACAAGCCACGACCCTTTCTGAGCATCCTCACGGGATGGGGTGGCTGGGTGGGTGGTAAACAGAGTGGGACCCTGGCAGGTGGAAAGTGGGGTTAATCCTTTCCGCTTCCAATGTCATAGCTCGGTATCTCGCCTTAAGCACCTGTTTGCCCTCACAGTGTTGCTGCTAGCAACAAACCTTGTCTGCACAGGTTGCAGTTAACATTTGTGTGTGTGTGTGTGTGTGTGTGTGTGTGTGTGTGAGAGAGAGAGAGAGAGAGAGAGAATCCTTCCTCTGGTTGTCCCTTTGCTTTGCCATTCCTAATGTGTTTTAAGTCTGGCTCCCCACCTCCTGTCTATACCAGGAGTAATGGCCTCCATCTGGCTAACAGAGCCGGTTCTGTGTCTTTGAAAGCCTGCCGAGCTATTAGAACTGAGGAAGGGCCAATGTTTGCCATCGTATTATTTCCACTGACCTGCCAAATTTCTGTTTGCTGGAAGAGCAAACTTATCTTCCATTCTAGCCCTAAGTATGTATCTGGTTTCTGCATAAAAGGTAAAGGTAAAGGTTCCCCTTGACAATTTTTGTCCAGTCGTGTCGGACTCTAGGGGGCGGTGCTCATCCCCGTTTCCAAGCCATAGAGCCAGCGTTTGTCTGAAGACAATCTTCCGTGGTCACATGGCCAGTGCGACTTAGACTCGGAACGCTGTTACCTTCCCACCAAGGTGATCCCTATTTATCTACTTGCATTTGCATGCTTTTGAACCGCTTGGTTGGCAGGAGCTGGGACAAGCGACGGGCGCTCACTCCGTCGCGTGGATTCGATCTTACGACTGCTTGGTCTTCTGACCCTGAAGCACAGACTTCTGTGGTTTAGCCCACAGCGCCACCATGTCCCTCATTTCTGCATACTGGGGTTTATAAAAATCAATGCATCCATATTTGTTTTTCTATGTTAGTCTCTTTCAGTTTAGCGGAGGGTGATGTTGTTATGGGCCATCAAGGAACCTCCGACGTATGTCAGCCCTATGAATGAGCAATCTCCAAAATGTCATATCTTTCAGCTGGCCTGCTTAGTGCTTGTAGACCCAATCCTGTGGCTTCTTTAAGGGAGTCGGCCCATCTTTTATTTTGGTCTTCCTCTTTTCCCGTGGCCTTCCTCCTTACCTGCCATGATGATCATTTCCTCCTGCCTTCTTAGGAGATGTCCAAAGTACGACAGCCTCTATTTAAGCATGTTTGCCTCCAGAGAGAGATCAGGCTTGATCTGATCTAGGATCCCCTTGTTTGTCTTTCTGGCAGTCCCGGGGGATCTGCAAAGCTCTCTTCCAGCACCACATTCCAAATGAATCCGTTTTTTTTTTCCTTGTTCGCTTTCTTTGCTGTCCACTCTCTGTGTTAATCGGCTCATCAGTATAAGAATGCCTTTGTCACCACCCAGCTATTGTTTGTTAATTATCCCTGTTAAGGCACTGACTCTTGCTTTTAGTAAATCTCCTAACCCAGATGTATAAATAATCGGTTTGGGGAGGCGACAGTATGCACCTGATGAAGTGGGAGGCAGCCTAGAAAAAGCTGGTGCCGGATAAAACTTGTTTTAAGGTACAAGAAGAGTTTTAAAGTGTTCCTTTTTCAGACTTAATCCTCCCAGAATATCCCAGCTGGAAAAGAAACAGAGCGCCAGGTTCTGGTTATAACTTTTCAAAGGGTAAACATACAGGTCTAAAGGCTAAATAGTGTCTGTTGCTCTAGGGAAAAAATCATTGTTTTGGATTGGACCTTATACTGTATACAACACAGCCACATCCCTTGCATATTCCCATTAGGGAAAGTTGGAACAAAATGGTAAACAGTGCTCAGAAGCAGCGGGTGATGGTTTGTGAACAAAACAGACATTCTACCTATTTACTTGCAGGAGTGAAACAGGAAAAAAAAAAGAGGGTGAGAAGATCCAGAATAGGAGGACTCAAAATTTGGCTCTTCTTCCTTTTCCTTACTCGTATCAGAGCACTGCACAATTTAAAATGATGGACGTGTTGCGTACTATAGGTAAAATTAAAAAAAGATTAAAATGTTAAAATAATTAGACTATTTTTGACCAGAAGGAGTTACTTCAATAGCATGATTTGAGCCATTTCCTAGTTCCTTGTTCTGTAGGTATGGTGGGGCATCAGTGGCATGGACATAAATACTGCATGGATTGAATTTTTCTACAGTCATAGAAAGTTTGTCCTGAATCCAAGTAGCCCCGTTTTACCTTGATTCTTCTTTGATCTTCCTACTTTGCTTCGAAGTCTGTTTTCTAGATGGTCCAGCTCAGGTCTTGTCCGGATGGGACATGACTCGTGTTCTCATGCATACCCCTGGCATCTCTAATCACGATTTCAGTGAAGAGCTTAGAAGGCTATTGTATACCAGCATCAGACCATGACTGCTTCAGGTTTAGCATAGTTGACAATGGCTGGCAGCTGCAGGATTTTCCAAGAGGAACGTTCTGCAAATGGTAGAACATGCCCTTTGTACAACAGAAGCTACCCGTTAAATCCTCCTTTGCAGACCCCCCCTTGCTTTTTTTATCCCTGAAAAGTTGGAATGTGTCTCTTAAGCCTTAGGTACTGGCAGTGACAGATTGTACTTATTTAGGCTCCATGATCACTGCAGAGGGTGATGCCTGCTTCTTGGGAGGAAAGCAATGACAAACCTAGACAGCATCTTAAAAAGCGGAGACATCACCTTGCCAAGAAAGGTCCGCACAGTCAAAGCTATGGTTTTTCCAGTAGCGATATATGGAAGTGAGAGCTGGACCATAAACAAGGCTTACCATCGAAGAATTGATGCTTTTGAATTGTGGTGCTGGAGGAGACTCTTGAGAGTCCCCTAGACTGCAAGGAGAACAAACCTATCAATTCTAAAGGAAATCAACCCTGAGTGCTCACTGCAAGGACAGATCCTGAAGCTGAGGCTCCAATCCTTTGGCCATCTCATGAGAAGAGAAGACTCTCTGGAAAAGCCCCTGATGTTGGGAAAGTGAGGAGGCAAGAGGAGAAGGGGACGACCGAGGATGAGATGGTTGGACAGGGTCATCGAAGTGACCAACATGACTTTGACCCAACTCAGGGAGGCGGTGGAAGACAGGAGGACCTGGTATGCTCTGGTCCATGGGGTCATGAAGAGTCGGACACGACTAAACGACTAAACAATGACAACTGGCAGTTAAGAGCTTTAAGATGAAATACACCGGTATTCGTGGTCATCCTCTTTTGCCCCACCTACTATAGGAAGAGCCTGGGAAATGAAACACTTTGTATGTGAAAAACTCTGGAAAGGGTTGCCGTAAGACAGAATTGACCCGACAGTGTTCTGTTTTTAGAAAACTGGCTGGTGGCTTG